AGCCCTGGGTTCAAGATGCTATCCAATATCCTATTTCAACTATTAGTGGTTCTTCTTGAGAAGGGAAAGATACATAATGGGATGAATGCCTGTTTGATAACCTTGGTGCCAAAAAAGGAAGACGCTGAAGATGTTACAGGCTTGCAACCCAAAAGTTTATCACAGAGTGTATATAAGTTATTGGCCAAAGTTCTTGCTACCTGCCAAAAAAGTCCTAAACCAGATCACCTCTCTGCCTCAAACTGCCTTTGAAAAGGACATATTTTGCATGAAGCCCTTACTGAGCATGAGTGCATTCACTCAAGGCAAACAAAAAGAAGGCCATAAATTGTTTGTAAATTATACTTAGTAAAACATTTCTCAGAAAAAAGAAAACTAAAAATGGACTTAGTAAAGGATTACAACTATGTGGCCTGGGATTTCTTAGACGATATTATGAAGTTGATGGGGTTTGGTTGGCATTGTAGAATGTTGATTTTGGGATATCTATCCACATCTAATTTTTCAGTACTGGTTAATGGATTTCCTAAAAGGATAGTTTCACCCCGCCAGGGGTATAAGGCAAGTTGATCACCCATTCCCTTTCATATTCACAATGGTTGTTGAGGCTTTCAATTGGATGTTGGGTGGAGTATATGAAAAAGGGGTAATGACAGCTTTCAAATGCTTGCCAAATGGTCCACCAATTTGAGATCTGCATCATGCGGACCATACTCGGTTATCATGTGAAGCAACATGTGAAGTGTTTTGAGTTATTCACAGGCATAAAAATGGGGGCTGTTTGTGGCTGTTCTTAAAGTATTCTGAGGTATTCCCAGGCATGAATTATTGGTATTGCAAAAACTAGATCTTGGTAGTTCAGGCTATAGCTGAAAGTCTACAAAATTTGGCAAGAAGAGTAGGTTGTGATATGGGGAGTTTTCTGAGAACTTATCTTGGCATTTTGCAGTTCATAGGTAGGCCTCCCAGTCATCTTGGGTCAGGGTGGTAGAGAGAGGGAAGGAAGTTAGATGCCTTAAAATCTAGATTTCTATCATTAGGGCGAAAGAATCACATTGATTAAGTCTTGTCTCTCTAATCTCCCTATCTATGAAATGTCTCTGTTTCCTCTACCAATATCTGTAGTTAGAGCTATAGGAAAATGGATGAGGCACTTCCTGTGACATGGTATGGAAGAGAAGAAGAAATTCATCTTAGTAATTGGGATAGAGTGTGCTCCCTGAAGAATACGGGTGGGTTGGAGATTTTTTTTTTAAGAAATCTAATAATATTGTATTGCTATGTGTTAATTTTACAAAAATTGCTTTCTGGGAAGGAAGCTTTGTACAAAAAAAGCCCTGCAATTACAGTGGGCTATGAACAAATTGACACAAGAAAAGGTGGCCAAGGGGGAGAGAGGGGGCAGTACATCTGAGTCTTAGAGTACACTCAAACAGAGCCATTGAGTGCCCCTTCTCTGGCTAGAGAGTCAGTCTCTGAATTACTCTCTCTCCACACGTGGTTCCATGATAGTTGAAGGCCCCTGGATATCTCTGAAACCTCGTCGAAAATTTGTAGCATGTACCAGGGACATTCAGATGTGCCTGATGTTGAGGAAATGACATTGAGAGAGTCGCCTTTGACAATCAAACTTTGGCTCCAGTTGTTATAAAAGAGTTTGAGGCCTTATAATGGGCTAAAGCCTCTTCTGTTTAAGAATTGAGGTGGCCAGCGTGCTTGGAAAAAGTGGCTAGGGTGGCCCCTTCGTGGTCACGGAAAGGGCCTCCTATACCCACTGGCCCTGGGTTACCAAGAGAACAACCGTCAAACTTGGGTTTTACTGATCTGGGCACCAGGGGGATCCAAAGGGAGGAGCGAGAGATGTGATGCTCATTGAGGTTAAGTAATGCCAGCCAGTCTTAATGGAAGGCTGATGAGAACTGAAAGAAACAAATTAAGTGCTGCTTGCTAAGTGCTGGTGGAGGTTCACAGATTCCACAACCATGTAAGCAGTTTGTGGCACAAAATATGGAGTATAGGAGCCTGGCTGGTTTGTCAAAAAACAGATGACTACCATGTTATTGTTGGGAATCTGGAGAGGTGTAATGAATAATATTCCTTCAAAATTCACCAGCCAAACCAGGGTCCTGGTTGGTTAAGGTAAAAGGACTAGAATCTGGGATGATATCTGGTTAAAGAACGGGCTAGGAGGTATCCAAAGTTGTATGCACTAACTGCCAGGCCTCAGGACACAGTTCACAAATTGGGTCTTGATGTTGGAAAGAAAGTAGTTTGGACTCCTCGACCGTGCGGTTATCTGAAAGGTGATGACATGGAGATACTCATGGAACTGTTAGGGGAACTTCAGGAATATCTCTATGTGCCCTCAAAAGAGGGCTGCATTATTTGGAGTGTTACAGGAAAGGTACCATTTTAGTTAGGTTATTCTATGAAATTTTAGACCTGCAAGCCCCCACAATAACCTCTAGACTATGGACTACACCAGCCTCACCAGAAACCCCTAACCCTTTGGCTGGATTGTGATGTTGGATAATTTTCTTACAGTTGACGACCTGGTAAGTTCAGGTATGATGCTGGTGAATAGGTGTGTCATGTGCAGAAAGGATGCAGAAGATGTTAAGCTATTTATCCATCGATTATGATTTCTCTAGTATTCATCTCTTCAGTTTTGAATATGAGATCTTCTTAAGGTTTCTCTTCCTCTGTTACAGTATTTCACAATTAATTGTTACCATTGTGAATTATAGTTTAGGGTTTTGTGTGTTTGCTCGCTGTTAAGGTTTGAATACCCAATTCATTACTAGTAGTATATATATTAGGCATTGTTACTTTGTATTTTGATTCATAGTTTTAAGAGGTACAGAAGTGTCATAACATTGGAATAATGTATCGAGCATCAGCTAATTAGATTTCAAATCCTAACACTATTGGTTGGCGATCCTAAAAGCCAGCCTAGGTTGTTACAGATGCCTGCCTGCGTTTTGGTTCTATTTCGTCCTATGAGAATTTTTTTCGTCTTTTTTTCCTTCAAATAACACTGTGTTAGTGACTGGCTTTTATGCATCAAGTTGCGCTCTGAGGAGTACATACAGATAATGCATACAGTGAATAGGGGGGATGGGAGAATGAGCAGATGCTAGTGCCTTAGGACATGAGGAGCTTAGATCTGCTCCTGGCGTAGGAAGCATGTTGTCCCTCTTATTGGCTTCTCTATGGACATAAATAAAAGTGTTGGCTGCTCAACACCTACTCTCTCTGATAATTGACTGTATCTGATAGGGTATTCATGTAACACTTATTTCACAATGATGAACTTCAGATTTTTCACTGTAGCCCAATGCTAGGTTAAACCTTCAAAATAATTGCTCAAATGAGCATAGATTCCCTGCAACATAAACATAGACCGGTAATTCAAAATCTCATATTGTTTTTCAAGTTCCAATTCTGAATCATAATCATCAATAAATTCATTGCATTACTAGTTAACTATGTTGAATAAATTTATATTGCTAGCTGAACACCAATCTTAGGAAATCAGTCATTTATAAGTTACCAATCCCAAGAAAAAATATATTCCTCGGAACATGTTTTGAAATTGACTCTCTTTCTATATGTAGTCTGTTGGATTGATATTTTTGCAATGGCAAAAAATTACAACTAAAAAAAGTTAGTTTCCCATCACAATTACATTTATGATTTAAAAATGAACCTCAGCATCAAATAAAAAAAAGGAAGAAAATAGTTTTTAGCTGTGGCAGATTCACAAATTCAGAAACCCTAATTTCATCCGAGTCACCGCCTCTTGCAATCAGCGACTCATAGTAGTGAATAACTTCAAAATGTAATTATTTATCCCTATACTCCCACCGATCGAAATTCCACAAGTAATGAGAACCTAGTAATCTAATTCGCAGAACACCCTGAAGCTTTACTATATTTCTCCCATAACAGCACAAGAAACAAAAATACAAAGCACTATAGTGATCTAACCCAGAATAAGACTCAGGAAATCCAAATCGAGTCTCTCTTTAGGAGAAACATAAATTACAATGGATGAGACAAAATGTGGTGTTTTTCTCTTGCATCTCTGAATTGGAAGAGGCCGAGGTATGCGAGGTATGAGATGGTTCAATGGGCTGTCAGTATGGGGATAATGAGCGGAACTAGTTGCATGGGCTCTGATCTGAACAGATAATGGAAATGCTGCATCCTCCCATCTCCATGCTTGCCACCCACTCTGGCTTTCTCTACTTTCTTCTACTTTCTCTCTTCTTCATGGAGAAGAGGATCAGTGTAGAGAGAGAAGGTGAGAGGGCAGATGGTTGCTGGCGGAGAAAGGTGAAAGGTGTGGGAGAGTGTGATGGATTAGGGTAGAAACCCCCCCACCCCACCCCCCCTGGGGAAGGGGAGGTCGAAACTCCCCAAACCCCCACAAGTGCCCTGCTTCCCACATGATGCAGGGAGTGGAGGGAGTTTCAACCCCCAACACACACCACCAACGCCCTCCCCCCCCCCCCACCCCGTCCCAAGAAAAGAAGAAGAAAAGACAACACACGTACACACAGAGACCCACACCCCTGGAATTTCTGTTGCCCCTTTTTTTCAGGGTCCCAAAACTTCTTCTCCCAGAAAACAATGTAGTAGTTTGCATTGCCAAAGATGAGAACTTCTACAATAATTGGGAAGTTTTGTTGCCCTGCACCGAAATTTTCAGTTGCCTATTATCCCCCAAGTAATTTACCAAATCACAGGTCCTCCATGGGCAGGCATTCCTCGATTTTGTAATTCACTTTAATTGTTGTGATCATAAGGTCTTTTAAGTCTTAAATTACAAACACCCTTAGCGCTATATGCATTATGTTCTCTAGGCTTATTTATGTCATGAATGGTGATTGCGTTTGATGGATCAATTTTGATTTTTTTTTTTTGCATATGTTACTAGATGGACTGAGATTTGGTTTTTGCCTAATGTTTTCTGTCTTTGAAATGGTCATATGCAGTTCAGGCATTTTGCAAACAAAGTTGGCAATCTAGAGCGCCCCTTTCTGAAAGAATTCTTCCCTCGCTGGGTGGAATCTTGTGGTTGTCCTGTTCTGAGGTTTGTTTTGTGGAACATACATTTAACTTTCTTGAGATTGTTGATCTGCTTATTTCTGTTCTTAATGTGTATAATTTACTCAACAGGATGGGATTCTCTTATAATAAGCGGAGGAATATGATTGAATTAGCTGCTCTTCGTCGTTGTTCTACTACAGTAACACCTCTTGCATCAGTTGGTAAAGACAATCCTGATTCAAATAATCGTGAATGTGATGTTGGGTGGCCTGGAATGATGAGCATCAGAGTTCATGAACTTGATGGAGTGTATGACCATCCAAGTTTACCTATGGCTGGTGAAGCTTGTCAACTTTTAGAAATACAATGCCATTCAAAACTTGCTGCCAAGCGCGCTCCACGGCCTAAGAAAGGCTCAAAACCTGATGGTTCTGATGACAATGGTGATGCTGTTGCTTCCCTTGATGCCCGTTCTGGGTAGGCATCATCTTGAAGGCTAAAAAAATGGCTCTCATTTGAAACCAATTTTGCTTCATCAGATAATTTATTTCAAATATTTTTTGCAGAATGGAGTCCCCCTTGCTTTGGCTGAGGGTGGACCCAGAAATGGAGTACCTGGCGGAAATCATATTTCTTCAACCTGTTCAGATGTGGGTATGTCTCCATTCTAACGTTTATTTGTCTGGGCAGTGGTGGATAACTCTCACACATGTTGATTTTCTATGCTAAACTTTGTGTAGTTAGTAAGTTACTATAGTTCCTCAACATTGCTTATTTTACGATCCATGAATCTTTCTTAGGTAAACTGATAATGTATCTGTTATTTATCAATCAGTGCAATGCTTATCCATTTTATTTCTTGACATTTTAAATGAGTCATAACATTGCTTCATGCTGTCTGTCTCCTGTTATATTAGTGAGGCAGTTTTCTTTTTCTGATGGTTGAGAACTGTTATTAGGGATTTCTTTTCCCCATTTATATTTTACCTAAAAATAAAAAAAACTACTGGCCCTTTATTTGTTGAACATATTAAGATTGGTTCCTTAATTTCTAGTTCTGTGCTCACATGATGGCTGAGAAATAGTGAATGTGGTGTATTTCTTGCTACAATATATCCTTTTTGCATTATATGATTGGAACTTTAAGGGCTCAAACTAAGTTCTGCTGTCATTTAGCCTTTATGTGAGTTAAGTTCTTGGGGTTAAATTGGTGACCGGGATGTCCTTTGATTTGTCAATGTAACTGCCAAAGGGCGATTAGCGAGTTTGTGCCTTTGGGAATTGTCTCACTCTCTATATGGAGATACGCATGCATATGTTCATGCATATGCAAACTCTCTGCATTGGCTCATTGCTTAACTTAGTTAACTTGCTTACCCAGAGTCAGTTTTTTTGGATGAGGTTATGTGAGTTAAATCCTGATAATGATGTCCAGATTTCTTGCATCACAAATGCTAGGGAGCATTAGGAGCTTATGCTACAATGGGATTTTTAGGGGGGTTACATTGGGAAAATGGGTGAGCTGGCATTGATTGGATCACATGATGCGGGCCTGTAGTTGAGCTAGTTGGTGTTTTTGATTTCAAGGGTACTGAGGATTACCTCCTCTGGCAAGCATTCTCTGCTTGTGGGACTATAGCCATGTCAACTGCACGCTGTGGATGCCAATGTGTGGGATAGGTGTTGGGGAGTAATTGCCTTTGATATTTCCAATGAAATCTGCTGTGGTTTTCCTGATGTCCTCAATTAATGTTGTTGGGGGGGTGCATTGATTATGTTTTGATCAATAATGGGGGTAATGTGAACTGAAGTATGTCACTATCCCAAGGGAAAGTTGGGGTGTGAAGAAATGCTAGTTATTTTGATGTTGCTTCATAGTTTTTCTGCTTTTATTTCTCTGTATGTTTATGATAGTTCTTTGTATGTTTATGATTACAAAGACTTTTGGTCTTGTCACTGTTTAGAGTATTCTGTTCTTTCTATTTCCCTTCTAATGCAATTTCGGTTTCAGATCAATCAATTAGAGAAGGACAAGGATGTTGTTGCTCAAGTTCAAGCCATAGCGGCATTAGAGGCATCTTCTAATCAGTCATTTGCCATTGTTCATGCTTTAAATAATTTTCTTTGTGATTCAAAGGTAATGACAGACTTGTTCTCTTGTTTCAATTGGGAAGCGTCTATGGGCTTATTATTCTGATGTGCTTTCCAGGTATTCTGGAGAGTCCGAATTGAAGCTGCTTATGCTTTGGCAAAGACAGCTTGTGAGGTATGCTTAGAGCTTTCTCGCTCTCAAGGATCTTTCAATTCAATGTTTTTGCATTATTCTCTCTCTAAGAATTGGCAATTTGGATTCTCTTGTACTTTGATTCTTTTGGTTTTCAAAGATCTATGTGCCATTGTTTTTATTTCAATGTAGTGTTTCACCTTTATGGATTAGTAATTAGATGATTCTGATGCTAAAAGCAAAATTAATCTGCCGATCACCACTGCCAATTTTAAAGATGGCTGGTTGTTTGACATGCGCTAGTTGTGCTATGCATGGTTTCTGGCTTTTATCTATTGTATGCCTATGATACAACCAAAATACTGTTAGTAGTTGAGTCACGTTTGCAAGTGTTTTCTTGCAAATTTGGAGCATACTTTAAATATTTTATGATATTGTCTAGGATGTCATGGCTCATACAAACTTGAGTGCACTTCAATGCACATATGATAAACATTTATTAGTTCTGGCATCTTGTGAACTCTGCAAATTTAGTACCCAGTTTGCCAAGTCAACACATAATCATGTTTCCGTGTTCAGAATCTTGAACTCTGGCCTGCTCGATCGAATTGTCTCGCCTAAATAAATAGCCAGCTTGGAAAACATGGTAGTTTTCCCAATTTTTGTGAAAAATGCAAAGTGGCTGTAATAGGAATAATACCGAGTTTGCCAAGTCAAAACATATTCCTTCCATAAAGTGACACAATAAAAGGTTGTATATGACCATAATCTTGGGCATACCCTGATGTTTCAATTAAAATACTGACCCACTAGCCAAGTTGATTTCACTTGGAGAGTTTTTCAGACTTGAAACTATTTTTTCTTCACTAATAGGAATCTTTACTCCAAAATCATCTATTGTAAATCAATTACTATATTTAGTGGGTTTTCTGGATGTTAAGAGTCTATAGAGGGAGATGGTTCTTGTAGGTTTTTAGTCGAAATTGATCATTTATATTGGAGTGGATAAATGGCATAATATCTCATTGCCATAGTCTTGTGTTTCTGAGCTTTGATTCTTTGTTTTATCTTTGAGTTTTGAATAAGCTTAGTCGATTGCAACAAATGATAAATGATTAATTCAAAGAACGCATATACTATACTCCCGCGGGAGCATATAATGCGCATCTACTCCCTCGGTTTAGTCTAAAAATTTGGGAACCATATAAAAACTTCTAGATGATTATTTTTAAAAGAAAAATTTGAATTTATTTTGAAAAGAAAATTTTGAATTTATTTTTAGAAGAAAAATTTGAATTTTGAGTTTCTTGACACTTAGATATAGCCCTACAAAAATTGAATGGTCACTATTCAATCCTCGGGCATTTTCTCTAGTACATAGAAAGTTTACTTCTGAAACTTTTTGGGCTGAGATTATTCTATGGGTTGTAGTGATCACATCCCCGAAATTTGAGATCTAAAAAGTATCCTACCATGTATTTTTCCTGAGGGAGTAAATAGATAGGACACGCCTGAGGAAATCTTTTGGGTTAACGAAAACTATAAAAATGCTTTTGAATTAACATGCTTAAACAGAGCAGCATGTACAGAAAGGTTCTCTGGTTGAAACAATGATACCTGTCTGCTTTTGATTGGTTTCAAATGTGTTAAAACTTGCCTTTACTTATTTGGTGTGGTTTGTATAAGGCTGAGGCCCTAAACAATCAAAGTACGGAGCACCTTCAAATAGTGTCGAAAGACGTTGTTTCAGTACTAGAATCTTTTGATGGCCTGATAATTTATTTTCACATCTAATTATAAAATTTAAAGCTTCAAAAATAGTGTAGATCGAGCAGAACTATGAACACTTGAAAATCTTGAAAATTGAAGGTCCAGAAAATGCATTACATGATGCACTATTTCTAAGACTTGAAATTCATTTTTTCTCATGTCCATACATCTTGAGGTCGAGATGATTGGTTTGAGGATTTTTTAGCGTGGAAACAACCTCTTCTACTGAATTTTTGAGGTGTGCCTTAATTTGATTGTTTAGGGCCTCACCCTTATATAAACTTTTTCTTTACTTTTTTAGTTTGTGGTTGTATCATATTTATTTCTTGATGCCCTTGTGTTGTTATTTGCAATTACATTTAGTGGTAGCTTATTGCAGGAAACTGATTGGGCTGGCTTCTTTCATTTGGTTAAGTTTTATAAAAGCCGAAGATTTGATCCGGACATTGGACTACCAAGGTTAAATTTCAATTTGATTTAAAGTAGAAAATGGATTTTAGATTTGCCTAATAGGCACAACACATAGGACACATGTCCTCTGTGCGTATGTTTTTTTGTACTTTTAACTTGGTGCACATGTTCTATACTTGTTTATGACTTTACTTTTTGTTTTTATCAGGCCAAATGACTTTCATGATTTTCCTGAATACTTTGTACTTGAGGTAATGATGTAACGTAGGATTTGTTGTAAATTGCATGAATACATGCTGTTCTATTTTTGCTTGTGGCTCCATAATGTTCTGGGCCAGTTGATTCTTTCATGTTTTAGGTGTTAATCTTAACATTTTTCTTGAGAATGCTAATTATTAGTAACATTATCTAATGTAGTTCTTGTTAGCATCAGCTTTCTAATGTTCTATCTGCTCTGCTTTTGCTTTGTTCTTAATAATTGGTGACAAATTAACCACTACAAAGGAAACTCAATGCACTGAACATGAAGTAGTAACATTCATGAGTCAAATAATCATCATCATCTGAGCCTTATCCTGACTATTTGGTGTTTGCTACATGAATCGTGTTCCACCATTCTGCTCTATAAAGGGCCATATCCTCAGACCGAAATTCACCGCATATCTTCTCACTACTTCCATCCATGTCCTTTTAGGCCTTCTCCTTGTGCTTTTTGAGCCTTCCACTTGAATCAAATCACCCCTCCTAACCGGTGTTATTCTAGGTTGATGCTGCATATATCTAGACCACTTAAGTCTACTTGCCCTCATGGTTATATCATCATCATAGCTATGAACTTACACTAGTTCATTTGATAAGATTAAACTGATTCACCTTGGGGTTAATTGTATTTTCACTTTTAGAATGTGGTTGCGCAATACATAAAATGACTGTAGTACTTAGCAGATGTGCCAATTAGTCTTTGGGTTTTAGATAACAAAGAAATGAATTTCTGAAGTTGGTGGGACCAGTGTTCGTTTTAGAAAGAGAAAATGGGGGGGGGGGGATACAGCGGTAGGCCCAAATGGTTTCCTCTTGGTTCTTTCAATGAGTTTTTGGAGATGCTGAAGGATGTTTTCTTAGCTATGTTTACAGAGTTCTATCCGCAAGGACAACTTAATAGTGCTATGCATGCGACATTCATTGGATTGGCACCAAAGAAAGGTGCCGAGGATATTCAAGAGTTCAAGCCAGTTGGATTGCTGGGCAGTGTGTACAAAATTCTGGCACCAGTTCTTGCACCTGGGTTAAGGGAAGTCCTATCTGAGGTCATCTCTCCCATGCGGCATTTGTAAAAGCTAAGCAAATTATTGATGGTGCGATGTCCTGTGTGTATTCACTATATAGACTATAGATACATGTTGACTGATAGGTTTTGGGATAGATGAATGTGGGCATCCGGCTGCCTGTTCATTTCTAAGTCCTAATAAATGTATCCCCAACTGGCTACTTTTGTAGCTCCAGAGGCTTAAGACAAGGGGATCCCTGCTCTCTTTTTGTTCTTCGTAGTAGTAGAGGCTTTCAGTTGTATGCTAAACAGCGTCTACGGATCAGGCATGTTAACAAACTTCAAGGCTTCATCTAAAGGTTCAATCATAACCCGTTTACAATATGCTAATCAGACACTATGTTTTATTGGGCTGAGTGGCAGATAAGCAAAATATTTATCCTTTTTTTTAATGATGTTTTGAGGTAGATTTGAACACAAGAGTTAACATGGCATAAACCAAGTCGATTGGTGTCTTGGTGATGCCAGAAGGAAAGGTAGGAAATTAAATCCGCCCTTTTTCTTGAACCTTAAGCAAGTAAAATCAGCAATAATAAAGAAAAACCATCGCTGTAAATCAAGTCAAGAGAAGAACTTTCTTCTTTCATAAAATTGCCCCAAAGTAGCCATTGGTCGTTGCTGAAAGATGTTTTGGTCATGTCATTTGTTGGGCAAAGAAAGATCGAACCTGCCCTTGGCTCTTAATCAACATCTTCATTGAGATCTGGTAGAGGTTGAGTAAGCTCCAAACAACAGTAACGCCCTTGTGGAGGGAGTCTAATGAAGCAATTGACACACTAGCAACGGGTTGGATTAGAATCTTGAAGCCCTTGTGATCTCGCTCAAGGAGCAACAAGGTGAAGTATTGCCAAGGTGGATCTCCAAACCACCATAAAGGAGGACAAAATCTGTTGGTTCCAGCGATGCATGACTGAGTGGCTGAAAGTGGTGGCTAGAACATTGTGTTCTTCCACAACGTCAAAGTTTTGAAGAACTAGGCAACATGATCCTGCACGTTAGTGTTAGAAACCGACAAACCAAGGGTGTAGCAAAAATGGAGAAACTTTCATGATCTTTTTCAAAATTATTCATGGTGCATGATTTAACTTTCAAAACCTTATGGGAAGAGTCAGCAAGGAAGACCCTTTCTCAGAGGCAAACATGCTACATGCCATTGTTGAACTAGGGCATGACAAAGCACTTAGACCCAATGGTTTGCCAATTGCCTTAGACCATCAGTTTGGGACTGCTTGCCTCTAGATTTCTTGGCCATGTTCGAGGAATTTCATTATACGGGAGTCATTCATAGGGCAAGAACTCAACTTTCATTACCCTCATACCAAAAATAGAATGTACGGAGGAATGGGCTTCAGCCCCATTTTCCTAGTCAATAGTTTCTACAAAATAACGACAAGTGTTGGCCTTCACCGCCTGATGTTAGTGCTCAACCAAGTGATCTATGCACCACAAGGGGCTTTCATCCAATGAAGACAGATTCTGGACGATGCCTGCTGACATGGGTGCCGTATTTAGTATGTTACTCAAGTGTCTAGTGTGATGGCCCAAAAAAGCAGTACATGCCCAATTTGTCTGTGCCAGTGTTTTAAAAAACGACGAGTCGCAACGGATTCGCCTGAGTCAACACGAGAATCGGTCACCCCTTTGTCTGTGCCAGTGTTTTAAAAAACGACGAGTCGCAACGGATTCGCCTGAGTCAACACGAGAATCGGTCACCCCGTGTCGATTCCACTTAAATATGCAGAGTTGCCCGGTTCTAGAGAAGAACCGGAGAGTTGCTACAGTGAACCGCTTGAGTCGTCCGGTTCTATGCAGTGAACCGCCTGAGTAACAACAAAAACTCCTGACAGAGTCGTCCGGTTCTCTGTAGTGAACTGCCCGAGTAACAACAAAAACTGCTTACGTAAATGCACCCACTATCACACCCAACTTCTTACATCAACGTGCACCAACGCATGTACACATGGCCATGCAACAACAACGAGTTGCTTGGGCTGGTTTGATTCTTTTATACTACCCTTTCTTCCCACATCGCTTCGATGTGGGACAATTCTACGAGTTAGATGGTGTACGTGGGTGGAATTAAAAAAAGCACAAGGCTGGGGTTTGAACCCAAGACTTCTTGTGACAAGTTCATGTGGTCTACCATTGCACCAACCTCAATTAAGTGTAATTAACGTGGATCACTGATATATACATTAAGAATCAATTAATGTGCAAAAAAATTTAAATTTACTTACCCGAAAAAGATATAAAAACTCTATTAGGCTATTATCTCATGGGATTATTTCATTATAAGATTAATAATTAATTAATTAGTTAATTGGGATTAAAAAATTAGTCCTAGCTCATAGGATATTAAAAAAAACAAAAAAATAATACTAATTCTAGTCTATTGAATATTAAAAAAAATTAATTTAGAGGATATTTTAAGAGAGAAAAATAGCACTAACTCATACTGCTGTAGATTTTATTTCAAGTTGCTTTATCAATTATCCCACATTGCAAATATGAATTTTTTTAATTTATTGATAACCAAATCTTGTATATTATTTATTAATTTATTAATATTATAAATTTTGTAATGTATTATTTTTTCTTATAATTGTAAATGAGATTTTTAAAATTAGATGATATTATAAGACATTTTATATTTTTATTTGTATAGTAAAAAAATTATCAAATATAAAGTTATAAACCAACAACTTCAATTTCAATATATATTATTACAGTTAGTTAGGTTGTAATAATTTTGGATGATTAAAGCGAATTAATAAATGTTTGATACTTTGATGTGATACTAATTTGTGTGGGAAATAATTTTTTGTAATCTTATAATATGGAAGTGTTTGTAACTATTGTGCATGTTGTAGATAGGCATTTTTTTATTTTTTGAATTTTGTTATCTTTATTTTTATTTTTTTGGATAAAGTTTTTTTAAATTTTTTTAATATCATAACATTAGAATTTATTGGGGGTTTTATTTTTACTTTTAATCATATGATATGGAAGCATTTTCTATTAATTTTTAATCATGTTTACTATAATATTATAATTAATAATTATACATTGATAACCAAATCTTGTATTTTATTTATTACTTTATTTACATTATAAATTATATAATGTATTATTTTTCTTATAGTTGTAAATAATTTTTTTAAATTTGATGATATTATAAGACATTTTAGATTTGTTCTTATTTGTATAGTAAAATAATTATAAAATATAAACCAACAATATCAATTTCATTATATAATATTATAGTTAGTTAGGTTGTGATAATTTTGGATGAGTAAAGCGAATTAATAAATATTTAATACTTTGATATGATTTTAATTTCACTTTATATGAGAAATTATTATAAAATATTATAATACTATGTTATAATTAATAATTATATAGACATCCAGACAAAAAAAAGCATCAATATTTACCTATTTTTACAAAGTAATGAAAATACATAATGCAGCACTCCTAATTACGTTAGAAACTAAAGTAACATTATTTTTAGATATTTATACTTCATCCATGATAATTCTGTGCTTATCCTTTTGTGTAATGTAAATTTAATGGTTAACTGTAGTTCATGCAGGGAAAGAACATCTCAATATGTGCATATTGATGC